ATTTGCTGGCTCAACTCCTTTACCAAGTTCATTTATATAGATAGAGAATAAAATTGGCCCCAAAATTCTAAATGTAAAGTAATTATGGTTCTTGGGAGAGAGTGATTATTTGCAGCCTTTCCAGTTATTGATTTTGGCATTCAGTGAAACATTGATTATATTTGGTAAAGCAAATAATCGAATTAATTCTAAAACGTTCATGTTTATGTTTACTCATCGTTTTCCTTCTTTTGCACCTTCAACCTGTTACAGCCGGATCCCAAACCGATCCCTGGTCCCCCTGGTCCTGAGGGTCCTGAGGGGTCTCGTGGACCCCAAGGAGAACCTGGCAGAGACGGGAGAGATGCAAGTCTTTCTGCTCATTAAAAGATTTGACTAATACACATTTTGAAAAGTCCTCTTGATATGTTCATATGAGAAATTGCCAACAGTGTTAACTGGCTATCTGATGTGTATTATACACAAAAATGTAAAATGCTTCGTTAATTTTTCATTTCATTTTAATTATTTATTTATTTATTAATTTAATATATTATTATTTATTTAGTATTCATTTATTATTCATTTTAATTGTTAATTATTAATTCATTATTAATTTTTTTTATGAAAAATAGGAAATGCAACTTGATGACATATACTGTCATAACATTTAATATTTCATAACAATAACATTTTCCTATTTATTCAATGTAGCGATCCTCAAATCTTAAGTCTTAAGCACAAACTAATGAAACTTCTTCTTTGGTCTTCTTTCATCTCAGGCAGTTCATTAGGGATGTATTCTCTTGTTCAGGAAGACAGGAGCTGCTCATTAGAGATTTTCTTGTGTCAATACCTCTGTCCTGTCTCACTAACTTTTTTTCTTCTGTTCTTCAGGGTATTCCAGGCACTCCGGGCACTCCTGGAGCTCTGGTAAGTGTGAAACATTGGAGGAACATCTTCAAGAAGACATTGCTCTTAAACTCTGCAGGAGGTCATGCTCAACAAGATTCACACTAGTTTGGGCTAGAGTTGGGAAGAGGGATGAACAGATATTGAAATTCAGACCAATACTGATAAATCAATAATTATGTTCATGTTACTGCAGTAATATAAAGATGATAAATAAATTAAACACAAATAAATAAATAGTTTGTAAGCTACAAAGATTTGAAAGCTGATATATAATTCTATACTTTTTAAAA